ATATATTTAATTAATTAACTAAAACCTAATTTTTGCATTAGTCAAACTTAAAACCTGATTTTTGAATTGTGTATAGTTAATCCCTGACTTTTGAACTCTTCCCTTTTTATAATCTTGGTGACTCTATTAACTTTATTTTATGTTTTAATTTTTTTTAATAAATCGCTTCGGTTCTTATGATGGTAAGTTGGATAATCAAGTTCCACACAACCTATTCATTATGATAAACCAAACTGTAAACTGACCCGAACCCAGCCGGGTTGGTTTCGTTCTGGTTTTAATAGGGTGGGTCGTGCACAGCCTTGACCGTTTGACCCATTGAACACCAATAAATGAAAACATGCTGTCTACATTAAATTTTATACATTCTATTAGTGCATGACTTCAATGCCCTTTAATATATAAACTGTGGTCCATATTAGAAGGAAATCCTGTGATCTTATCTTGTGCAGCCTCTACTGTCACAACCTTCAATTCTTTGCCACCAAAAAAAAACAAGAAAAAAGTTCAAAAGAAAAAAGGAGTTAAAAATGGCAGCAGCAGTTTCATCTTCTTCCTTACCAGCTGTGCCTGTAATATCACTATCTAATAGAAGACAACTGATCATATGCAAGGCAGCAAATGAGGCCTCTGTTTCTCCTCCAATTCTTTCCAAGAGAAGCCTTTGCATTAGTATAAGTTCCGTATGCGTGCTCGCCTTAGCTGGTAAAGGCCATTTTGATGCCAATTCAGCCATACTGGAGGCGGACGACGACGAAGAACTGTTGGAGAAAGTGAAGAGGGACAGGAAAAAGAGGATTGAAAGACAAGGTGTCATCAAGTCATCGACCAAAGAGACCGGTTAACTTCTTCCATTGTATTATCTGATTATTGGATTTTGTTTTGTGGGCACATATGCTGTTTTTGAGTAATTTTGAGTTGATATTTTTATTGGATTCATGTCATAGACAATTTTTCCATGATCTTGATAAAAAATTGGAAACAAAGAATCACTATTATTACTAGGATTGCAATATGGCAGAGAAATTCTGTTGCAGAATTTCTTCTTTTGCAGTGGACTATTGGTCCTTTAAGTAATGTTTGTTCGGAAGTTTGGAGTGGAGAATCCCGGTACTGTAGCCACATTGCGCTAGGTATTTTGCCGTACCTTGACCGGAGAAAGAATAACTGAATTATGGTACAGGGACAATGAAATCACCAATTACAGTTTTCCACTATGGTCTTTTAGCACACTTATTTGCTAGAATGCATAGAGGAAAGCATAAAAGAGAAACTTGATGTAAAAGAAAGGAACTAACTGCTTTATGATTAATAGAATGGAATTATGTCTGATTTATGATTTTTAGACAGAAATCCCATGATGTTGTTTGAGAATGACGTAGTAATGTTGCAGCATACCTGCAAGATCTTGTTTATAAACTGAGCAAAGTGGGTCAAGCCATTGAAAACAAAGATCTATCTGCTGCAAGTTCAGTTCTTGGTCCAAGTACTGATACAGAATGGGTTTCAAAAATCAATTCAGCATTTAACAAGGTTGTTTCTGGAATACTTTCATGCTTTGTCTTCTGTCAGTTTCTGCATAAAAAGACAATTGTTTATGTAATTGTGTGGCTTATGTTTCTTACACCTTCTCCTGGTAGTTGAGCTCTAGCCCTGAAGAGAAAACCGAGGTTGACAACTTCAACTCCTCACTCTCGTCTTTGATTTCATCAGGTGACCAATACTTGCAGTATCCACAGCAATGTTTGCTCATTAAGGTTACGTCTTACTTAATGCTATATATATGTATGATGAATGCAGTTTCTGGAAAAGACATTGAAGAGTCGAAAAAAGCTTTTGTGGCATCAGCCAGTGCACTTGAGAAGTGGACAGTATTGACAGGGTTGAATGAACAGCTTAAAGGCCTTTGAACCACAAATTAAGAAGCAGAACTTATACAAAATGGGCATTTCCTCAACTTCCAATATTAGAGGATTCTTTCTTCGACTAATTTTTCTGGGATCAAATGATAATTTTTCTTTGCCTCAAGGAGCTTTTAAATGTTGCTCACACTTGAGCTCAAATTGTAAATTGTAACTGAATTTCCTACCAGATAATCAAAATTTTTGATGGATCTTTCATGATTAGATATGATTTCTTGGAACTCTATACTTGTATGATACCCTATACATAATCAGCAAAGACAAGGAATCTGCTTAACTCATGGACTTGCAAAATACAAATATAAGTTTTCTTCAGAACCAGAGGAACACAGTTTTGAAAGCTGCATGTCACAGACTTGCCTTTCCAAACTCACCATCCTGAGGTGTTAAGGCCACACGGTACTTGGTGCTTGACATTTTCAAGCCCTTGACATGCTGTATCTTCTTACTTTTTCATCTGAGATTTTCATCAGTTAAAAAATGTAGCAGACCACAAGGAAGGACTAGACAATCAAGAAACATAAGCATCACCATAGGTATAGAACTGTCAAAATCTATATAAATTGCCTAAAGAACTAGATAAATAACAAAAGAGGAGTATTGTTATGCAGAATCATGTAATCAAACTATCTTCAGAATGAAGATTTGTTGGTGAAGGAAACTATTAAACAACAAGTGGACTTTATTTTATTTTTAATGGGCATCACATAATCAGTACATTGGCACCGATCACTTTGTTCTTCCACTTCCCAAGCGGTCCGTTCTAATTCCCCACAGATGCTCCCCTACTGCTTTCATGTTTGGACGATCGATTCGTCTAGGAGCTGCACAAATGAATGCCAGACCAAACATTTTCACCAGGATTTCATGCTCTACTTCTTCCTTCATTAAAGGATCTAACATCTCCATCAACTTCCCTTCATTGTATTTTTTGAAAGCCTGCATAAAGATATTATTTACTTGGTGAATATTTTCTAGTATGCCGTACTGAACATGCATTTAGTGGAATAAAATACAACTTTCTCACCATAATTGAAAAATGCTCTCTTCAATGAACTTTTTGAAACGCAGATGTCAATAAAATTAGACTATACATTCCTTGTTACAAAGTCCATGTCAGAAGGGATCAAAGTTTAAACTTTCTCCTATTTGAAGAATTTGAGAAAACTAGCCAAGATCTCAAAACCACTGGCGTGGGGAAGGACATATTGGTAACTTTCAGTGTTTAGTTAGAAACTTTTATACTCAAACTTGCACTATTTTCAACACAACCAACGTTGTCAAAGCTATTGGTTTGTTATTGATCTCAGAATATTGTTTGCATCCAAAGAATGAAACCAGCCTATAAATTGAAATAGTCTGGTTCCACGAATTCTTATTTCAGGGGAATTTCTAGTCATTTGAAGTGGTTCGAGACAGGCGTCTAGTTAGCATTTCAAACCTACCAATATCCTACACCTTGTTTGGGTTTGACTTAATTGTTTGATTATAAATGGTTTTATTACTAGTCTAGTAACTTTTTCCAGCATTCTATTCCTGAGAGATTCAGCTTGCTTCATTTCTTCTCTTCCACCATCGATTTCCTCATTTTTGTTTCTAAGACTAAGTTGATAGTTTGACATGGTATGCGCCTTGCCCAACAAGCTCGCAATCCCATACTTGGAATCGAGAACTTTTTGACATCTAGGTCAGAGATTCAACACAAAATGATGCAGACAGATGTTTCAATACTAATAAGGACTAAGACTAAAAACACAGACTCCATAACCAATCCACCTCAGAAAATTCAACAGCAATGTAAAACCAAGTTAATTACTTCATGAGATGTGAATTTTAGCAATATGGAAGCATTACATCATCTGATTGATCAAATATTTCGTCATAAAATGAGTCTTGCATCAGAACTAAAGCAAATAATGTTGCATTTACAAAATGGAAAATCTTACCCATCTAAGCGTCACCCTCTCATCAGGTGGTCTCTTCAATTCCACAGGCCGACGACCTGTTAAAATTTCTAGCAGCAATATCCCAAATGAATATACATCGCTACTCGCAGTGAGCTGATTTGTCCTCATGTACTCTGTGTCAAGGTAACCAACTGTGCCTTTTACTTTTGTTGAAACATGTGATTTGTCAGAGTCTATCTCTCCTAGCTTTGCAAATCCGAAATCTGCAACTTTGGCTCTCATCCTCTCTGTCAAGAGAATATTGGAGGACTTTACATCTCTGTGGATGATTTGCTTTTCTGTCATATAAGATCAACAAATGAAAGGCTATCAACACTAGACCAACAAAAACAAAGGACAAGCAGATGAAATCAGGTTAAGTGGTATCAAGTTCTAACATGGACTTACTTTGAGCTAAACTTAGCACGATAAATTAAAACGTATTTATAATTTTCACATGCTTTGAAAGATACCCTGATTGATAAGTAAATAACTTTAACAATTAAAAAATTGTTCCATAATGAAAACTCACAAACTTCAGGTGTTCAGGATTTCTCATAAGGTTGTAGACTAGCAGGGCTAGGCTACATACTGATTGGTGTATCGTTGAATGCTTCCTCGTGAAAAACAAATGCCACCCACATAACACTATGTCATGGATATTTCTTCTAATTTTTTGCTTCAAAATAGTTCTACGTAATTAGATAAGTCATTCCTAGCCCATTTCTTTTGAGTCAGTCTGATCCCATCAAATACCAAATTATTTCTGTCTAATCTACAAGGACCATGTATTAATCTTAAGCCAAGGTCCATGAGCGGTCAGAGAAATCTAAAGCATTGTCCAACACTGATATTCTAAAACTTCCAGGATGATTCTAAAACTAAGGCATTGTCCCACACTCCCAAGGTACTTTGGGTTGGATTAAACTACAAGTATCAGGGAGCACCTCCATCATTAAATACAGCTCAAGATGATCCTGGACCTGGTCATATCTATCTCTTGTTATTGATGCATAAATGGTGAGAACTGTAGAATAGAAATGTAATTATCCTTCAGGTCTGTCTAGGTACATAAAATGAGGTTCAATTTGTGTTGAAGTAGACTTTTTTCATAAAATTACTGAAAACTGAACAATGTAAAAGGGGTCCTTACCTGTGTATAGATGGAGATAGGTCAGGCCATGAGCAACGTCAATGGAGATTTCTAGTCTCTGATTGAAACCTAATATTTTTCCCTTCTCACCTACCAAGAACACATACAAAGAAAATCAACCAAATATTGTATTTTCACTGTCTAGCTAACTGGATTAGTGGCATGCGTTAGAGTTCAATGGTTTACCATCTAGATGTTCCCTAAGTGTACCATTTGGCACATACTCTGTTATAATCAGGTGCTCATCCCCTTTATCGATATAACCAAGCAGCTTGACTAAATTCCGGTGCTCAATTTTAGCCAGAAGTTCAACTTCACTCCTAAATTCAGTTCGCAAGGCTACGAAGAATTCCTGCAAATTCTTTCTTTCAATAGTATATATAATTTAAAGTAATATGCATGGTAGAGGATCACAAGGAGAAACGTATTTCTCTTTTTTGATACAAATTACGTTCTTGTATATCTCAAAAAACAAATCTTATGGAAAGGCTAGTTTAAAGTTAGTATAAATTTCCTTTATTCAAATTATTAACAGAAGTAAACCAACATCAACTGCCAATCATTAGAAGAATCAAAGTTCACACAGGATGTGGTGGATATTCTATAAATATATCAGCAACCTTCTGTTTTAACCATTAATTCTCATATATCAATGAATTTGAGCCAGAAAAGGAGGATCTATTTGTTTCTATTTGAGCCTAACCGATGTTGGCTTCTTCCTTATAAATGCACATTTCATTTGTACACAGTCCGAAGAAACCACGTAAGATTTTTGAGAAATTCTTAAAGAAAGTAATAGTTGCGCTTGCTAGCATTAGATAATATGTTTGTTGAGCATGGCTAAAGGTGGAGGTTGTCAAGGAGCTTGAATAAGATTCCGAAGATCGTCGAAGATTACGATTATACGACTATTATAGATAGATTGTTTACCATTAAGTAATATTGTTATTGATTGCTAACTTATTTAGTTGTTATTTTGGTTTCTATTTAATGAGAGAACCTCTCACAAAGATGGGATCGAGTCTTTTATTGAGTATATTTGACATGGTATCAGAGCCTTTTCCTTAAAATTTTTCCTTTTAATTCCAACGCCTACAACATCCTATTATTGCTGCATCTTTCTACCTGTCCTGGAATAAACACCATTTCAATAAAGTGCAGACAATAATGTAAACGTATTGGGCTTGCTGTCTTATTTCATCTTGGATTCTCGGAGGAGGATCATCTTTGAGTTTTTTAGTGTAGGTTACTTTGTGTGATTTCTTCCACCTGCAATATCTGGAGTTTTGACCGATGTTTTGGCGTTAGAACTTTTGTCGGAATACGAATTATGTGTTCGACTAAATTCTCCCGACGGATAGAGCTCATTGTGTGTGTCGGCACACTTCGTAAATTTTTTTTGAAAATTCTTCTTAGAAAGTGTGAGTTCTCGTAGTTTCTCGTAGTATCTTTGAAGTGTTCTTGAAGTGACTTTGGAGTAATTCTTTATTGTTTCTGCATTATTTGTTGTTCTTGGTCTCTCGTCGTCACTAATTTTCGTAGTTGGTTACTTTGATTTGAATTTCTTCTTAGTGGGCACAAGTATTGTCACCATCGCTAGTTCATGATTGCAAATTGATGCTTTTACCAGCATCAATTTGAGGGGGGATGTCAAAGAGCTTGAACAAGATTCCGAAGATCGTCGAAGATTACGATTATATTATTATAATTGTATTAGATATAGATAGATTGTTTTTACCATTAATTAATATTGTAATTGATTGTTTCCGTATTTAGTTGTTATTTTAGTCCTATTTAATGAGAGAACCTCTCACAAAGACGGGATCGAATCTTTTATTGAGTATATTTGACAGAGGTTGTGGGCTGAGAATGCTACCGCAAAGTTGAATCTTGCTGTTTGTCCTTGTCAGACTTGATCCCTGTAACATTGCTTGTGATATGCTTCGTTGAGCTCATGCCCATGCAAATCAAGCCACTAACTACCACAATTGCATTTAATACTGATTTGAGATTGACAAACAATTCCAACAATTTATGACGCACAGACAACCCTCCAAAGGTAATGTATCAGTCTCCGACAAGTATCATACATCAATATCCCCCTCCACCCCTCCACATGATCCAACAAGAGAGAAACATGGCACCAACACGCCTTGAACAAGTGTCTGATATGCCTCAAGCGACGTGATCTATTTTAATATTTTGTTTGATTGCTGTCTTGCTGATATGCAAGGCAACTGTGGGTCCTATTTTATGTGAATTTATATAATATAAAATTTATGCAAATTCTGATTATAAAAAATTCAGTTAAACAATGTGTTATAATACAAACTTTACGTCAACTTCACTTCATATCCAGTCTTCCCACTTTTTTGATAAATAATATTGTATTATGTTGGCACTAGTAACACAACATACAAACCAGAGTCAAATAGCCACTCTTCTAATTCGAAAAATTTCAGCAGCAAAATCTCAAACTGCCAACTGAAAAATGAGCAATCTTTTTTTGTTCAAATAAAAAGCATAAAGTAATCATACAAAAAATTATAATTTTATATTACTCTAATCTATGTGTCCATGTCCTATTATCATAAAAGGCTATATTGTCAAAGTGCATGTATCTGTTTCGAAGCTGTTGATATAAACATGTTCCTTTTTTTTTCCCAAATTTGATGCAAAAAGTGATAGTCACGGCTTCTGTAAGGGAAAAATGCTTAATGGACAGATGTTATCTACAGGATAAACATTGAACAAGAAGATGTATCCACCACATTTCAAGTTTCAATGCCTTAGCAAAAAAGCATTATGCGAAATTATTTGTTACAATAGGGTAAATATCAAAAAAGTTGCGAAGTTAGGGTTGGTCTAGTGAAAGAATGATTACAATACCTTCTTTGCTCGTTTTACAGCGACCACCTGGCCATCTGGTAGTTCAGCCCTGTAGACAGTTCCAAACCCACCTTCACCTACTTTTAGTGATGGGGAGAAATTGTGTGTTGCTCTGGCAATTTGGTCAATATTGAGATGAACCGATCCAACCTCATTAAGTTTCGGTGACATGGAAAATCTTAGAGGACTAGGTGCAACTCGGAATGGCCTGCCTGGTATCTTTTCAGAAACAGAATTCATTTGCACAGACAAGATTGAATCCACTGAAAGAATAATTAAGTCTTGTGTAAATATACACACACAAGTACCTGAATCAAGGTATACAAAAATATACTAAGCCTATGTTTGGTATCCATTCTTTTTTTCATTCTCATTCTTCTACTAATTTTCAACCACACATTCATCAATAAAATAATATTTTCCATCACATCAATAACTTTTCCTTCATTTTCAACCACAAAAAAAGTGTGATTTGACACNTCCTTCATTTTCAACCACAAAAAAGGTGTGATTTGACACAAAGAATGCATTTTTTCTAGAATAATGGTTACCAAACGGTGCCTAAGTCTACCAAATTGAGTGCATGTTTCGCAAAGCTTATAATTGCTTACAAGCAGGTCAAAGTCTATTTTTATCTACACATTTCATAATACCCACAACTTTTACCTATTTTTTAACCACATTCCTATGGACCGCCCACAGCTTATAAGAACTTATAAGCTTATCCAAGCAAGCACTAAGTATCAATAACTTTAGCCAAAAGAGTTGCATCAGTGGAAATAAACCTATATCCACATGGAAAGGTTAACTTCAGTCAATTTTTTCTCATGCAGGATAGATCTTTTTATAAGTAGTATATGCATATGTGAAAATGACTGATTAATAGTTGTATCTTAATTTCATTTAAAATTCTATAAATCAAAGCATGGACTGTATCCTGGAACGTAACAACAGGAACCCAAAGAATGGCAATGATTTTGCTCACTTGAATTTTTCTCCTCGTCAAGATCAGCATTTTGAGTTCCCTTTTTCCTTGCACGAAAGCATGGACAAAGTACGGCACAACATAAAAGAAAGAAAACTGGCACTGCCATGTACAGCTCTTTTGAGGTCAATATAGAATTGCTAGCATATCTATCCTTTCTCCCCTGAGATTTTTGTTGAAAACCGTTTTCTGTAGATCCTTCTCTAATTAAGTTCTGCAAAAGTTTTCTTCCAGATTCTGAAGACACCTCTTCTGCAATATAACAGAAAGATGCTAACTTCATAAATAAGGTTTCAGCAAAATAACCTAATTTAAGCAATTTAACAATTTCCATTGAATATTGCATATTTCCTGGGAACATCACCTCCCAAACATATATGTTCTAAGACAAAAAACAAAAAAATTAAATAACGCATGCTGGTGCATACCTAACAAAAAACCCAACCTGCAATTCCGATCTCTGAGATTTCTGGTGAGGAAACAGTGTTTTGCATGATACGTTTTGTTAAGAATTGAGGTTTTATCTTAAAAGGTCAACCTTATTAAGAGGAGTAGTCCAAACCCTTTATAAATTGGTCTATGTTTTCAGCTTTATTCGATGTAGAATTCTATCCCTTAACATGCCCCTGCAAGATGGTGGCTCGTTTGAACAGACCAATCTTGAAATCCGTATGCTCACTTTTGGAGTCTTAACCGGATTGAATTGCTCTGATACCATGTTAAGAATTTGGATTCCATCTTAAAAGATTAACCTTATTAAGAGGAGTAGCCCAAACCCTTTATAAATTGGTCTATGTTTTCATCTTTATTCGATGTAGGATTCGATCCCTTAACACGTTTCTAGAGCCTTACAGAAATAATATGCTACCAATTATCCATCTATGTAAGACAATTCCCGATTAGGATCACTTGAATAGCTGATGTGCTAAGTTCCACAAGCCTTGCTATTTCTCAAGGACCCAGAAGTAAATACTCTTGGTGATTGCAATATCAATAATATACTGAAGAGAACTAACACCACTCTTAGTGAAAAACTGCAAAAAGATTCCATCTTTCAAGATCAAAATATAATCGAGGCATCCTCAATACTAAATCCCCAAAACCATCTACAATTTCAGATAACAATAATCCACCACACAGTAATGTTGTATGAGCAAAGAACTCAAAACTCCAGAAGTTGGTAATATAATAAATCAAGGTCTAGAAGTGCTAAAATTGAGCAAGATCAATCCCAGCTATCACTTATTGAGTCAAAGTCAACTGAAGTCTCCAAAAAGTACTCTCCAAATTGAAGTACACAATAAGCACTGCCAAATGACACAGCAGCTTCAAAGGCTTTTGAATGTGCTAGCAATTAGGTCCGGGCCGAATCAGTTAAAGATAGCCATAATTGATTTTCATCACATCATAATTCCTTTGGATTTCCGAGCAGTTCCATTAATTGAATTATGCAAAAGATGTCGATTTAAAGGTAATTTTGAGGATAAAACTCACAAACCCAAACACAATGTACCAGATAGAAAAACGGAAATCATACTGAATTCTAAGAACAAGAAATTCCAGCAGAAACCCAAATTCTCCGGAAAGAAATTTCTTACTTATACTACATGAATCACAGTATCAAATCACCCCAAACACAAAATCAAGAATCCTTCACATACTTAAATTCATCAAACCCACAAAAGAAAACTAATCAAAAATAAAAATAAAAATAAAAAAACCCTCAAAAATTCAGAAACCAAAACCTAATAAGCAATCAGTTTCATCTCAAACACCAACAATTTTTTCTTAACCACTTCACCCAACAAGAAAATAATACAAGCCCACATGAGAAAGCTTCTAAAAATTTAAAAATCAAACTTTCAGATAACTTATATCACAATTCAAATGCTTAAAATAAAATAAAAGAAGACTTATTCACAGATATACCAGTCAAACTTGATTCTTGAATGAAAATCAAAATTGAATGAAGGCCGCTGCTAGAAACACTAAACCGAAGTATATATTTAAGTACATATGCACTTAAATGGAAATTTCGAATGCTTAGTACATATGCACTTGAATGGAAATTTCGATTGTTGTCATAATTGTGAAAGAAGAATCAGAGTATAGGTGGGCTCCCGTGAAAATGGCGGGCCCGGACGTACACTTGTTTTGCCAGTTTTGGTCTTCTTGATCGTAGTCAATGCACGCGTATGTATTCCAAAGGGTTGAAAAGTTGACAAACACAACACACCCGAACTGCTTGTTTCGTAAAGTCATTTTTTCATAAAAGTCGTTCAGATTTAATTTTTAATTTTAACCATTTTTTAATCACACCATTTATTAAAATCATCATCTTTTATCAACCTTATTTTAAGGTTGCTAAAATCTACTTGGCTCTAAAATTATTACATATATTTTCCATCTATAAAATAGTCCACGCCACTCTAAAATTATTCATTACCCTTTTCTTCTAAAAGAATTGTAAAAAATAAAAATAAAAATAAAAATAAAATAAGAAGAAGAATCGTTTCTCTCTCGATTCAGATAATCAATGGATTAGATGTGTCTCAACTCAGTCCAATGGTGAAGAGTCATTGAACAGTTAAAAACAACTCCTTATAAATGTTTCAATACTCACAAAATTAAGGGCGTTGACAGAACATAGAATTTATTTATTTTATACTAGCTATGTAACCAACTAGGGACCTTTTATTTTTGTACGAACTTATAAATATGATTCATATTATTCTATAATATCTTCTACTCATATATTAAATACTTGCGAGATTCTTGTTTCATAAGACAAATCATCTTATCTTTTGTAATGTCTCGTGATACTAACCCATAAGTTTCAAACTTTTTAAGGATTATTGACAAGATTTTTGAAAAGTCAAAAGTATTTTTTTAGACTAGGAAATTATTTTTGAACATGTTTATATAATCTTTTAAAACATGCTTTATTTAATTAGAAGAGTTTTTAGAAAAAACTGATTTACGCGTAATCTCTTTAAAAGAACTCTTGAAGAAAAAACAGAAGTCAAGAGAAACGGTAAGTTTTGTAGTTAATGCCCCCATTTGATTTCCATTTGCCTTTTATTTATGAGCTCTCTATTTCTACGATGTTCACTTGCACTCTGCTTTGACCTTTCTTTGCCGTCTCAATTCTGCACTCGCACACATTAGTAAAGACACGAAAATAACACGCATAAACGGGACAACAATAGACTTAAATAACATCCCATTTTCCCACCCATATTCATTCCAATACTTCGAAAAAGATCTAGCCTTTAAGGCACCATTTCTCGACATTTGTTTCTTTCGACGCTATGGCCGGACGACAACAAAATCAAGCATTCGTTACCGCTTATTCGCCAATACACGAGCGCGAACACGAAGGCGATGATGTCAATGATGTAAACGACGTCTTTGAAGAGACGGGTTCGGCTGGTGGATGCGCTTGCTTTAGGTCATCTTGCTTCGGATGGAATGGCGAAAACAATGGAGAAAAGAGGTACCTCTTGCAAGACGAAGTAAAGAAGTTGAAGGAGTTTACGGAGGTCGTAGCAGGGCCGAAATGGAAAAACTTGTTACGAAAAATTGGCAGGATTTGTAATGCAAAGAAATCTAAAACACAGTTTCAGTATTCTCCAGAAAGCTATGCTCTCAACTTTAATGGCGACGACGACGACGATGACGAGGAAGACTACCATTTGGTGAATAATTTTTCAGCAAGATTTGCTCCTCAAGCTTTCAATGATCAACAGAAAAAGGATGCTTTGTGATTATAAATTAAAAAAGTTAAAACCGATATTGTATTGAATTTGAGGTGGAAAAAAAATTGTAGCCATTTGTTATTTGTTTTCCTTGTTGATAATAATTGAAAATATTACATATATCTTTGTTGTCATATTTCCTCCTTCAGATAATTGTTATTTTATGTGCATAAAAAAAATGTAAAGCACTCGCATTTCCGTTTCGAAAACTAAATCTTATTTGATTTAACTAAAAAAAATGATAAAAAAATACAAGTCAAAATCAACAATTAATTTTAATTAAATGAGATCTAATAAAACTAAATTATATTTTTTATACAATATTTTGAAAGCATTTCCTGTCCTACGTACTTCTTCGACTTCAATAAAATATGATGTTTCTATGTGTCGAATCATGTCGCATTTCGTTTTCCATTTTCGCGCAAGCGAGTTATTATATAAATTAACATATTTTCTAGTAGTGTGACATTTTTTACGCAGAAATGGGATTCATTTTTTTTTTTTTTTAAATATAAAGAAGAACAATATGGTAATTTGATTTCATGAAGTACAACATTTGAGTGACCAATGATTAAATTTCACTATCAAACATGGCGAGTAAGTGTGGTACACTAAATTTGACCAACAAATTTGAATATGCTGGCTGGATAATGACAGTCAGAGATGAAGATTTTTGAGCTTTGAAATCAGTCAAATATGTACAGTTTTCCATGAATACGCGGTATTGTAATTAAGAAATTATTCAAAAAAATAAATAAATTATTATTCATAATGAAAAAAAATACTAAAATTCAAGTCTTTCATTTTCCTTCAAAAATTCTAGATGTAACGATGTACTTACAAAATATACTACTTAATCCAAGTTAAGAAGTAGGGTGAATTCTGTAATTTAAGTCTTGAGAATTGATGTTTATAATAAGTTATTGTGAAAAATTAAGATATATAAAGTGGGAAGATTTGTGAAGGAGTGATGTGCTCTTATTATGTTTAAAGCTTATGTTGCTGAAGTACCGGCACAAATTTTTAACGTTATTGGTGTATTGTCGACAAAGTATAGTTTGGCACGGAAGAATTCGCTTTGAATTTGATAATGTAGTGCTTGTGAAGTATGCGTTTGTGTATGTCCTGTAGATTTATTTGTTGCTGATTGGAATTTGGAAATGAATATTCGAATGAAACAATTACTTAATTATAGTATTGATTTTGGAATTTGTATATTTAGAGGATAGAATGGCCAATGTTAAGATATCTCCATGATAGCGAAGTGACATTCTTGATACATTCAATACAAAAATTTGACATTATATAGATATACGCAATTAATTATATTTAGTGTATTATATTCATACAACTCGATTGTCTGAGTTTAGAAGGACCTCTAATAATAACTACACCACCGCCTTCTTAGAGAGTGTGCTTGGTGGGATTTCCCTCTTTGTAGAGGATACATAACCTTCTAAATGATTATTTCATTGATTTCATTGTGTGGTGTATGTGGAGAGAAAAAAATGGACGCTGTTTTGAAGACCAAACATGAACAACTGAGCAATTTAGGGAGTTGTTTTATTTGACATTGTTTAATTGGTTTAATGTTGTGACTTCTAGGCATGTAGATGGACTGCCTAATTTTTGTTTGTTCCTTTCTGATTTGTATTGATGATACACTTCATGTATATTAACTTTGATTAATATAATATTTGATTACCTTTCAAAAAAAAAAAAAAAGCAAATCGATATGGATGAGTGGCATATTAGAACATTTTTAATGCAACTGTGAATAATTTAAAAAGTGTCACAAAGCAGAAATAGATGATGTTTTGAAAAAAAAAATCTTCAATGCAAGTTGACAAGGATTATGTTAAGCTGACTCGACAGACAAAAAAATAGACAATGTCTAGACGGAGGTCTAGATGTATACATTATGGTAGAGTAGGAGAAAGGGTGGTTTTACAACCTTAACTTCAACACAATCACTGATATATACAGTCTTAAGGTGCCTATCCCATATTGCACGAGCATTTTTGGCTCTTCCATCTCCAATAAACTCTGCAAAATCATTAATGTATTACCTGATTCTCTCTGATGGTTTGTGAGTAGGATTTGAAGCTATAGTACTCACCACATCCAACCCTACCATTAATTTAATGCACTTCAATTAAGTACTTATAACAAGAAATTATAAAAGGTAAATAATTTATATATTTCTTTTTCTAGCATATAATAATTAATTAGCGACAATTCATTAGTTAAACATGTAATCCATAGTGTTTTAACAGAAAGGACTAAAAAACTCTGCTCAGGCTTGCTGGTGACTGGTGAGTGGTTCATTAATAATATTTCTTTTTCTAGCATATAATAATTTATATATTTATTTTTCTAGCATATAATAATTTAGAGCATGTTTGCTAAGCTTACAAGCACTTCAAAAGGTCGTGCTTGTGGTAAGTACAAGACCACATAATTATTTGAACTTCAAAAGGATTCAGTCTCGTTCGATTGTTGGTATTAAGTGGCGGACCCAACACAATAGTTCAGTCCGGACGAACATTGATCATTGACCTTCGACAATCAGTGATCGTAAGAGCGATGTCGTTCATTAATATTTAATTAAATAATATTAAAAATTATTCAATTTATATATAAACACACTAAAATGTAAAATTTATATATATATGAACATGTATGAACTTCCATTTCGGTTGAAAAAATCGTTTCATAATCTACAATTGCAAAATGCCTCAATTTATTTTTCAATTGCAATTGATGTACACATTGTTGAATCGTAATTCTCAAATCACAACTCAATGACTCATTAATGATAAATTAAAATTCATAATTCAAACAATGGTGCAACATAAATTATTTACCCAAAATCACAAATCAGTGAAATCACAATTTTCATTTCAAAATTTCAACGTCAATTCGCCAAATTAATTCATGATTCATACAACATAAATCATGATTTCAACCTATAAGGATAGTTATAACTCATAAATAAAAAATAACACTAAAACCGAAAAAAAAAAAAGAATCAAAAAACAAAAAAAGAAAAAAAAAGAAAAAGGAAGTTTCAGCCCAAGGCAAAAGGCCAAATTACAAAACAAGGAAAAAATAAAGAGGAAGAGGAACAGTTACCAACCTCGATGCCACTGCCCACTGCCCTTGCCTGCGCGCCAATCTCCTTCTTCCCCCAATGGCACGTCACTGTTCTGGTGGAGCCCAGCAAGCGCGGCTGCGCCCCCTCGCGGGATGCTGGGTTCGCCTCTGTTGGTATTTGTTCATCAATAATTGGTTAAGTAGTCGTAAATGTGTCATAAATTTGGAGTTGTTTGGTCACTTCCTAGCATTATTCCGTGGGGTTGGATTGTTGCTCGGGTGTACTACCTTGGTTGTTTTGGAGTTGAAGTCTCTTGTTCCCATTGGATTGATCACTTTACTAAAATTTTGATACTTGGCGCAAATAAAACGACAATACGATAGACAATTGAACAAAATGTATTATGCCTCAAAATAGGATTTTGCCACTTTGGTAGAAAAAATTTAACAAATGCGATGACATAATTCGTGATGACAACAAATAATTTGATGAAAAAGCAGACGGTATTTAAAATAATCCAATAATGAAATGGACATTATATCAAGAATTATTTAAGTCATTTGGTTTGGTACCGTAGCATGATTCCTCAAAAATACCTCCTAATGACAGGTCGTTTTCTATTAACAGACAACCAGTCTTGATAATTTTAAAAGAAAAAGAAACTTGGCTGCCGACTGAAAAGTATTCACCAAATATTCAGGTGAAAGATTTTATTAATAAATTTGCAGCTGTGGAACCGACCTAGTGATATGCCAAATTTAGCCCTTGCTTGAGCCCATTTTTTGGGAAAATATGTTTTAAAATAATAATAATTATTATTATTTTTTTTTGAGAATCTGTGATTAGAAAATAGGCAAAAATCTTGGATTTACAAGAAAATTTATTTTATAAAAAATTGTGTGCTTAAAAATAAATTTTGAAAAAAATGAGCTTGGAGAAACAGGGTCTTAAGAGTTTAGTGCGTTACTGTTCAACAAAATACTGGATTAGTGGAAATGAAAAATTCATTGAATAGTCAGAATTTATTTTATTGATTTATGCCTAACAAGTGCACATTTCGCTCAAAATTTGAACTTGATTACTTACATTGACCTTAAGAATTTTTTTTTTTTTATTTTTTTATACCAACAATAGAGTTTTTCTACCGGAATTTTGGCAAGATTTTACACCTTTTTGAGATTTTTGAGTGTATTTTAGGTGAGCTTTTTGTTTAAAGGAAGAAGGTTCTCGATGAAATTCTGGTCAGAAAACACACTTCAATTTGAGAATGTTAAGATTTTCAAGAGCAGTGGATCCTAATTTTTGCCTTGATTCGAGGCAGAATTTTAAGAATGGGAGAGTAGCTCTCAAAGAATTTTCTTCCTTTAGCTCTTTTAATCCTTTGATTTTCAACTTTTTTAACGTGTTAATAACCCTCTTTATATACGACTTTTAGGGCCCTTTTGATTATTTTTTTTAGTCGAAATACTCATCGTTATAATAATAATAATCATGATTAAAACCAAGTTTCAATATTTTGATTGAGTTTTGTGTTTTGTGACACTTGTTATATACCCGCAAGAGTTTGCACGGAAGATCATACTAATTTGATCGTGTCAAAATGTATACTCAAACTACTAATAATGTTAAATGTACATTCATTTACTTACATTGACAATGATATTCCTGTTGTTTTCAAAAACTTATGGACGGTAAAAGTGTTTTTCTTAAACTGTCCAATGGTCTGTTGTCACGTTGCACAATATAAACAATGATGTAAAAGATGATATACATGCGGCTAGACGGTGCTTTGCCGGTCGAGACTTCTTATGCTTTAGTCGGCCAGAGCCTCGATGCAAATGCCGAAAACATGTAATGGAACCCTTTTGGGACTGATCAATAAATATTTCAGCAGCTAAAAGCTTAGCTGGTTTAGAAACACAATTTCTAATTCTGCAGCATCTTTATGAGTTTTCTTGCGATTAATTCACGTTAATTTTGTTTTTATTTTCACTGAATGGAAATTAAAAGCTAAATTAAGAAATTTTGGAAGAAATTAGAAGAGGAACCTAAATAAATTGTGTAATGAATTTACACAAATTTTAAACAGAAACACAAATGCATATATGGACCAAATTCACATAGATTCACCAACGATAATTTCCAGTCAACAACTTAGGAAATTCATTACTTCTATAATACTAATATCAAAGCACCAGTTATTCCAGTTATTACAAAATTACGCCAAAAAAAAAAAAATCAAATCTTACTAGAACTTTTCTCCTGCTCTAGATTTGACAACGCCAATTGCGATTTCGTCCTCGGAATCTCTCCGGCACCCATGGCCGGTGAAGAAACAGACGGTGAATGCCCATAGCCAGAGGCGGCCATCAATGCTAAGCAACTTTCGCTCCACGATCGCCTCACCGGATATGACACTTGCGAATTCTTCGGTGGATGCGAGCAACGCCCGCGCGATTTATGTAATGCACAGTTACAATTCTTATGATACGGTCGCCGCTGGATTTCCATATCGCCACCAGAAATACATCCTTCGAATACACCCCAGAGCAATCCGTCTCCGGCAGCTCCTGTGGCCATATTGATCTCGCGATTCTCCGATGCTCTGAGATATTTTTTCTCCCTTCTCCATTGGAGCTTCATAAGTGCTTTTATTGTTGCACAGCAAAACGCAGCACAGTTCGTGCCACGTGGGTCGGTGGGGGATCCTCCACCGGTTACCTGTTCAACTAATTAATAAGAGATTTTCAGGACTTGTTTGGTACAGATTAAAATCGGATTAAAATTAAAAATTAATCGTTATTGTTGACTTTTATTAGAAAAATGAAACTCAATAGCGACTATATTTTCAATTTTAATTCCTCTCAAATAAGCTCCTATTGAAATGAAAAAGAGAAAAAAAAATTATTTATGTATTGTAAATATGAAGGCCAGTTTGGTGAAGTTTTTGAAAAGTTAAAAACCTTTTTTTGAGATTAAAAAGTTATTTTTAAATCTGTTTAAATAATTTTTTGAAAATATTTCATCTTACTAGAACTTCTAGAAGAAGGTGACATAAAATAGTTTTTGAGGAATCTTTTTTACAAGAAGTTCTTGTAAAAAAGAAGCTATGTCAAGTTATGTAGCATAAATAAATTATAATACATAAAATATTGTATAAATTTTCTAATTATGTATTTAAAAATAAAATTGTCGATTTTCTGAATATGTTTTAATTTATAAATTTTAGTTGAGAGGTTACTAAACAAATTCGAAGTCAAACCTAAATTTTTTAACTTCATAGCTAGAATCGAGAATCAGATCAAAACCATTCAATTATTGATTCTAAGACCCACAATCGACATGAATTGAGTTGGGCTGATTTTAGAATGGGTGGACGAGAAAAAAGTAAAAAAAAAATAAAATTACCCTCCTCCCTCCTCCCTTTGTGAGTTGTCGGTGTGAACCCTACACCCAACATTTCCCATGGGTGGACAGTATCAAGACCTTGGGTTAAATATATTTTTTCGTCCTTAAAATTGCACAGAAATTCCAAGTTGGTTCATAAAGTTTAGAGTGTGTTTAAGACACATTCTTTTGAAAGAATGTATTATTGAATAGTAGATTGATGGAAAATTTATTAATGTGATGAAAAATATTATTTTATTGAAGAATGTGTGGTTGAAAATGAGTAGAAGAATGAGAATGAAAATTTTAATATGACTCAAACAGGTGAGAAAATCTAGAGAGACTCTTGTTTTGTGAGTGTGAGCCTAGTAGGCTTTCATGTAATTTTCACTTTCTTAATCATGCCAAGCAGGCTTTCACTAGGCCAGGCTTTCACTAGGCCCAGTACCAGCCTGTTTTATTTGTTGAGTAATGTTCCCTTTTACTTACTTATTTACACCCAGAAATGAAAATAAAGTTACACTAGGAAAAATAAATAATAATTATTGTTCATAAACACTACAGATATAACATGTTACCAATTCTAAGCAGATATAGAGAATGTGTGATGATTTATCACATAGATTAAAAATTAACACGAAATAGAATCCAACATACTTCCAAAGATCCTAAAAGAAAAACTGATTCGGTAACCTCAACCCCGTCCCTGAAAAAAATTCGAAGGGTCCTGAACGAAAGAAACACAGTCACAGAAGAAGAAGATGACAGATTTCATACTGATACAGACTCCGATGGAGAGAATCAACGTTCTGTAGCCCAAAACTGGCGCAGAATATTAGCTGCTAATGATACTTCATATAACTGCTCCGAAAGAGTAATTGTCGAATCCAAAGTCACCATCTGACATGATTCCATCTTGTTCCTACATAATAGAAATGCAATCCTTGTTATAAAGTCACAAGGGTCGAGACCAATGTTATAAATCCAGTAAAATATGTATCATTCGGGGTATCTTAATTGAAACACTGAGAAATTGAAGACCAGGATCTTTCATTGACATGATTCAGTAAAAATACTGGACAAGGTGAAATATACTGTGAACTAGTTAACATACACGTGCATGTGCAAAAGGGCAAAAGCGCGTAAACGAAAAGGATAATTAAAATTTCTCAGCTGGCAGAATTCACAGGTACGAGCAAAAGATATGCAGATTAATCTAATTGAAACAACAATACATGTGTACAAAATGAATATAGACCTAAGCCATGGACAAGTTTTCCGCTTATTCTCTTTCTCTAATCTCTAATCTCCAATTCCTTTTTCAATTTTTCCAGTTTACGGGGTTGGGCTGTTTAGAACAACCCAAAAATGATGGGGCTTGTATGAAAACAGCCTAGAAAAGGCAAAGACAAAGGAGGAATCCAATAACCTCACTGAGGCTCCTACTGAACACCTAGCACTAGGCATATCTCAAGGCATGCATGATGCACCCCGTGCGCTTTTCAAAGCATACATTAGAGCTCGAGACCACCTCTCTCGACTTTCTCATTTCTCATTAGATTGTAATCTCAACAATAAGTTGGCTTCTGAAACGAGATGACGAACAAGCTAAATGTTGAGTAATTTTCTTATGGCTGTACTTCTCTATACACTTTGTTCAAGGGTTATATCCATCAGAGACATTGAGCTACAATACAAGCTAGCCTAGAAATTCAAAATCAGGTGTGGTATGAAAAGAAATGGCACTAGAATGGATTAATTTGAAAATGAGAGAGAGAAAATTTCAAATTGAAATGTCAAGAAAAAAAATAGAATACGTAGGTAGCACACAACAATGCCATAAAATAAAATTACGTCATAGAAATGACTGATGACTTCTTTAGCATATCTAAACAGTAACTTCCCAGTGATTGCACATTTAAAAGCATTATAGTGTTTTGCTTTCTTAATGAGAACACTTTAATGTGTACAAAACTTTCCTAAATAGTCAAGTATCTCTAAGAGAATGTAATTCTAGAGCCAAGAAGTCATTGCATTTTGTTATTTGCAGAGTTATATGATACTCCCAAATTAAGCAACACGTGTTACCAATCATTTCCATATAAAGTACTTGATAAATTATTTGGCAACCACCATGGAATCAAACTAAGGCCAAATCCAAACGACTTTGGAATCTATTTCATTGTAATGGTAAAATATAATTAGCCCCCCATTTGACCCTTATTTTCTAAAACTCATTTTTCCTCAAAATTATTTCCAACCACACATTTCATAGAATCCAGAATTTTAATCAACTTTTTAACCACACATTTCATCAACTTTTATCAAGATCTATTAAAAATCTGAATTTTATGTAAAACAAGCATGGGCTTAATGAAAGTACAAGACATCAGAAAATGATAGAAAACAAGTTCATAAAGGCGTCATACCCGTTTGATCATTACATTCATTAAATCATCCAAGGAATGATAACTTTGGGGAACAAAACCACCTTGCAGCTTCGTTTGCTCCAAAAGAAAGTTTCCATTGGATCTCATTCTTGACTCAGTAGTTGAATTTTCAATCTCATTCTGCTGCATGAGAGTTATAGCACCTTCATTTGATTGGCCACTTAAGAACATGTCCATCTTTCCATTGAAGATTCCATTATTCTGGTCAAAACCCTGGCCCAAGGGAGATCCAATACTATTGGAAGGAATATGGGAGTTAAAGGAACCAAATGCACTATTTGAGTTGTGGCTATAATTCTGTTTTTGTTCTCCCCACCTCTGAATTGGTGCTTGGCTCATGTTATGAAGAACATTGCCAACCAAACCTTCTTGACATTGAACCTCTTCTCTTGAATCTTTGAGAGATGCTGAAACCATGGTGGTGGAAGAAATATCAAGGGCGTTGTGCTGTAATTGAGGACCATTCGAAGAATTATTATCTCTCACACTATTAAGAGCCATCTGACTCTGAAAAGGATCAGTAGAAGGCAACGAATTTGACTGCAAATTAGGTAATTGAGTGGTATTCTGCCAGTTCTCATTACATTTACCATTATCCAGAAAATTGGAGGAAACACTGACACCAATGTTATATGGTTCGGCATTATAAGAAACTACGTTGAGAGAAGACCGATTTCCAAATTCTCCCCCATTCAATGTTAGTTGGGAGTCCCCATGTTGCACCATAGGATTATTTGGAGCAGGGATTAAAGAGTTGCTTGAGCTACCAAACGCAGCTCTGGGGTCTTTGAATGTACTGGAAGCTGTTAGCATTCTAGAGTCATTCATAGAACTGAAACTCCCAATGCCCATGGTGCATCCACTATGTAACTGACTCAATTCCAATGACGAAGGAATTTCTTGAAATAAACTTGCATTTTGGTTTGCAGCTGAAATGGCTGGCTGAATTTTCCCAAGAGCGCTGTTGGAGTTGCTGAAGTTTTGAGCAAGATTTGGTTGCATTAGTGTCGGAGTAAGGCTTCGAAGGTTCACACCAGCAGGACTATTTAGTCTTGTTGTATAAGGAGATAACGCAGCATTTGAAAATCTTCCTGATCCAGCCAAGGTTCGAAAATCTCCAAGCCCATCAAGCGAACTCATACACATAAAAGGAGAATCCTTAATCCCTAGTGCTGCAGCCATGTTCGCTTGTTGGGTTGCAACTGAACTGATCCTTTTCAGGTAAAGCCTATACTTCTGCAACAGAGAACAGGTTGTAAGTATCAGAAAAATCAAATGATTGATTTAACTTTTCTTCCTCACAATGGCCCTTATTATTTGAGAGATGGGTTTGTATGGGGAAAGACAAAAAAAATAAAAGACTAGTGGCTAAGGGGATTTTGATATCAAAACTTTCGCTGTTAAAATCTTTAGAGTGGTAACTGAAAGGTAGGCTAATTTCACCATTGGAATGCCAGTTTGAGGGATGATTTTTCAGTTTAGGAAGATTCCTTTTCTTTCTTATTTCTAGGTTCCTACTCATCAAGAGAACATGCCTTCACTATACACACACAGAATCCTCCCCTCACCATAGAGTGATATATGCTGCACCCTGCCATTATTATGTTGAAAATAAAGCGTGCAATTTTGGATTTGTCAAAAACTGCAAAGCCATGCCATGATCCTAACTCCTGGTGATATCTATCCACTTTATTCCCCTATTCAGAACTGACTGGAAAAGTAATCTAGTCCTTTACATTTCAGAATGGATGAAAAGACCTTACACTGAATATGGAAATGACAAATAAAGATGGAAAAATTAGTACCTGAAGATGGCTTGCCACATTTTCCCGGGTAAGCCCTTCAACATTCATCAGGTCAAGGATCCTTTTAGGGACAGCTTCTGCATAAAAAAAACAGATTAAAAAAAAAGAACGTTTATGAGATAAACATTACATAAAATAGACATACAATGCAAAGTAATGATATAGAAGGTACTTTCAATGCCCAGTTGATTCACAGCTGCAACAAACTTCCTATGAAGCTCAATAGACCATACCACCCGTGGCTTCTTCTGTGTCGCAGGGTCTTCATTTTCATGTCCGTTATCATCACTCTCATCTTCATCATCTTTCCTCTTTCTATTATGTTTTCCATTCTGATCTGGATTACCTACATTTGAAGTCCCAGTACCTCCTCCACTTGCTTGATTAGCCTTGTCTTGAATAGTGGATTTGTTTTGGGAATTGGAATTGGGCTTTTTTCTCCTGATTACATGTTGCCATATATTTCTCAGCTCTTCAAATCGGACAGGTTTCACCAAATAATCACAGGCACCGTGAGTAATCCCTTTCATCACAAGTTTTGTATCACTATTTGCTGACAACACTGAGACAAATTCAAAGCAGCAAAAGAAAATTCAAAATGAGTTCACGCATTAATTTTTGGTAATCATGTATGTTCACAAGAAAACAAAAAAAGTAATCATTTGGGCTTAGATGACAAAGTTGAACATGGCAAGAGAAATTGAAGCTAAAGCAGTCCACTTGTGTATTCATGCCAAAAGATAAAGAAGACAAAAAATTTTAAATGCAAATTCAATCCATGAACAATTAGGTCACTCAAACTTACTAATGACAGGCAGGTCCATTTCAAGACCAACATGCTCCAAAAGCTTAAAACCATCCATGTCTGGCATATGCACATCACTGATTACCAGGTCAAATCTCTCACTATTTTCCCTCAACATTTTCAATGCCATCTTTGCCTGACTTGTTGTAGTAACTGTAGAAACCACAAACAATTTCGAAAAGGCAAATTTAATTATAACTTTTAAATCAAAACATATAAACGTGGATGATAAAGATCTATTCAAGTGCCACCGTGAAATCAATAATGACGGGTAGACGGGCTCTAACAGTCTGAACTCAGAATCAAGGAAATAAAAAAAGACAAACTTGAATTCATGGAATCACTTGGCAAATATGGAGTTTAGGTGCAAGATATCATGCCAAACAAAGCAAAATTATTTACTGCAGCCTATTTCAGACTAAAATGATAAAGATGACCGCTTTAGGATCTAGCCAAGGGAAATAGCTCGTCGGGAGATCCACCAAATGAAATTATCAATGTCTTTCAGCATAGCAAGATAACCTCATGAAGGTCAACAGCATTTGCAAAATAACTTAAAACAGGATGTATAAAAATAACCACGAATAAATATAGGAGGACCTATAATAGGTGAAAGGCATGAAGTATTAAGCAAAACCAATCAAAATTTAAACCTAACTTCATAAGGAAAAACAAAGATTGGAGGAGCAGAATTCAGAACCATGAATGCACAATTTAAAATATTAGGTTCAGAAATTTTGATGCATGATTGAACAAACCCCACTTCAAAATCTAAGATAAAATAGAGCAATCCCAACAATTACATTTGAAAGAAAGAATCTTAAAATTAACCCAAATCTCAACATCAAGAGATGGGTCAAAATCAATTAAAAGCAAACAATAAGAGACACACATACCATGATACTGGCATTTTCTAAGCAGAGTCTCCAATAGCTTCAGACAAATTAGGTCATCATCAACAGCAAGAACACGCAGACCCACTGGAAATTTGTCATAATTTCCATTTTCAGCTATAATTTCCTCCGTAGCCATCTTTAGAACCCACAGATCAAAACACCCAAAACGGGGATCAGAGAGTCAAAAGTTGGAGTCTTTCACTCTACAGGTCACTTTTTCGAATTCTTGGCCAAAACCCCAGTTGGCAAAAAGTAATTTTTAATACACAGAATCAAGGATTGATACCGAGAGAGAGAGAGAGAGAGGGACACAAAGGACAGATTGTATGTAGAGAGAGACCGAACCAAAAAAAAAATGATTTATTCAAGTCGAAGCTGGGCAATGATGGTGATTGCCAGAACAGAGTGAATGGCTTCAACCCAAAATAACACCAAATCGAATCAGTTCTTTTTCTTTTTTAATTCTTATCTCTGTCTGTTCCTCTTATGAACCCTTGTCTGGCGTATAAAATAGTAACAAATTGATGTAAATAATGGAGCTTTTTGTGGTCAAATAATTGACTTTTGTTTATAGTCCGCTTCCAGTAACTCTGCCGGCTGCCCTCTCTCTTTCTCAACTCGTGAACAGCAATTTTGGAAGTGGAAGACTTTTGGTAATGAAGTGTCTCATGTGACCAATGGGTCCACATTTGTGTATGAAAGTTATGAGAATCTCGCCCCTTTCATATGGCTTAAGAAACTCCGCCCTGATAAGTCGGTTCAATCAGAAAAAATTGAAAATTCATTTGAAATTTTGTTTAGATTAAGATTAAAAAAAATAAAATAAAATTGAAAGTTAGCACACTGCTAAAGAAGTAAAGAACTGGTTGATTCACCTAAATTATCTTGTGTTTTATGTTTTTTTTTGTCCAAGTCATGTTTGGCTAATGTTTATAATCGATCAAATAATTTTTATCTGCATATTTTGTGAAATTCATAAATACTATCAACTTATCAATCGCTCATTTTCAATTTTAAAGTTATTATAACAACTCCTAAACACACATAAGTCGGTAGTCAAGTCGCTTTCAAAACTTTCGGCATAAATTTTTTATCAAGCCATCTAAGTAGGATTACGTGCAAGGACTTGAAATCTGTATTGACAACAAAAAGTGTAAATTCAGGACAAGGCATGAGCTCGAAGTGAATAGATTGAAAATATTTAAAAAGAGATACAAATTTACCTAATCCAAATGCTAGAATCAAAGAAACGAAAATTGACAATAGGGAAATATCGAAAAAATTATAAAATAGAAATCTACTTAAAATCATGGTAATATTTTAATACTCTTACTTTTATAGAGATCATTTAGAGTTTGTTTGGTAGATATTAAAATCGGATTAAAATTGAAAAACTAGTCGTTATTGTTGACTTTTATTAGACGGGTGGGACCCAATAACGGTTATATTTTCAATTCTAATTGGATTTTTAGTGTTACCAAACAAGCTCTTAAACTCTCCAATAAAAAATTCCCTTATTTAAATTAGGAAGGTGCTTGATTTCTCACTCGATTTCAACAAGTTGACTTTCATATACAATAAAAAATTGAGAAGAGCATATTTTGGCCACCACTATCTTTTAAAGGTTGAAACGTTTTTTTGAATGCTCAACTTCGACATTGGACATCACTATCATATTTAAAACACCAAAATCCTTGAGAATTAATTAGCATTGTTTTGCAAAGAAAAAAAAAAATCTGAAGAAATTCAAGTAGAAATAGCATTGTTGATTATTATTATTATTATTATTTTTTTTTTTTTCATTTTTCTCCAAGGTAAGAGAGGTGAGTTGTTGATATGAGTCGAGCAAGTTCACATGAGTTGGCTCGCAAGTCGAGGCCTAGTGAGCTAGTAGGCACTCCTAGTTGTGCGGTTGCAAGTTTGTTGAGACATTACTATAGGGAAGAAGTTCTTTCATGGTGTTTATCTTGAAGACTCGTTGACAATCTTGTTTCACATATCAAAAAATGTAATTCATGATACATACGTAATACGTTCTATGTCTGTATATTCTAAGTTATGAAGATCAACATTTTAGTATCATTGTTGAGGAGTCAATTACACACCAAATTGATCAGCCGAGCTTATTCAAAAGTCAAGAAACCAAGTACCCCAAAAACTGTTGCAATACAGAGACCTGCCTTAGTTACTGTTGCTGAACTGTTTGAAGATTTTGGTCCAGGAGCAGTAGTAGGAGATGAGCTATGAGAGGTTGTATTTGATGCAGAATCAGTCGCAGAAATCTTGGCGACCGGAGGCAATGGTGGATCGACGATATCTTCGATGGTGAGGACGGGTCCGTTTTGATCTGGTGCTGCTGTTGGTGCTTGATCCTTTTGCTTTGCACTTGCATACATATCACCTGGAATAACTCCTGATATTTTGTACGAAGCTGCTTTATTATTACAAGGAGACCCTGCAGCAGGATTGAAAATGGCGTCGTGTTACTGGGTTAACGTGACAGATTCAGTACAGATTATGCAGCAGTACCGAACTAATACTTACTCATATATGAATTTGCAGTTGCTGGAAAATCTGTTATGAGGCCATCTACGTGAGCATCAACAAGAGTGGCGATCTCAACATAGGGATCAGAATAATAATCGAGGAGAAGGTTTTCAAATTCATTCTTGAGAATTCCAACGTATACTGATACATTAGCAGCATGCATTGCTGGGATAATGTTGGTGAAATTCTTGGTAAAGAATGTATCTGTAGATGTAATGATAGAACGTCTTATCACGTTAATTGCATCCGCATATTTCTTGACTTCTTGCGCTAGTTCATCCGGTGTACCACTTACATCCTTTTTGATTTCTAACACTCTCTGATAAGTTGGAATACCCTTGAACTTTAAAAGCACTGAACTGTCATCAGACTGAATCAAAACTTTCTGAGTAGATTGCTTATCGAACGAGGCATTACTTAGAGCTGTTGAGACTGTTCCAATTATGTCCAGACTCTTATTCGATGCTAAATACGCGGCATTCTCTATATTGATTAGAACTCCACTTACTGCCTTGGTCTTAGCAAGTTCCAAGAACTCAGAAAGCATCATAAACTTTCCCTTATTCTTGTTTTGTGGATTTCTAATAAGGTCTCGGAAAGTATTCTGAATTTGAGCTGAAACAACCACATAATAGAAATGTCACAAATGGAAAATGAATGTATCAATATAAAAAAAACTAAACAAACACGTACGCTTTAGAGATTGAATTTCTGTCCAGGTGAGATCAAAAGAGAAAATCCCATTGTCTGGTTGAATTTCTGGTACCGTTGTAGCTTGATCCATGAACAGCGTAGCTGCAGTGGTTGAATCCGTAAGATCTGGCGAAGGTAAACAGAAGGCGACTCCATCTTTTGACAATTGGACAGAGCAATCGATTATATCAGCACCATCATCTATGGCTTTCTGATAGGCAAGATCAGTGGATCCAGGGAAATCTCCACTCGCTCCATCGTGCGATATTATTAGAGTTTTTATTGTCCTCGAAGCATTCTTGTTCTGATACAGGCATCCGATAGCTACTGAAGCAGTTATAGGGAAATCAGTAATCACACCATCGACCGAAAACTGAGAATTATCAATATACTGAAGATACTCTCTTGTTGGATCATAGCTGTAATTGTAACTCAAGTAGTTGTCATTTGCAAAAACACCAGCATATACTTCAAGCCCTAGTTTGTGAGCAACAAGCACTAGATTTGTTGGCGCAGCCTGCAAATACCCATTATTACTAGGCCATATATATTGTTGTGGGACAACAATCCCGGATGCAAATGATTTTATCATCGGCAGCTTGGTCGCTAGTGAACCGTATTTTTCTTTGGTTGTGGGTTCTACAACATCTGCTGCAAGAAACTTGAAAATTATTTTTGTTTTTGCCTGCTTAACCTTCGGTCCAATGCTCTTCAAGAAACCGATCTCGGGGGACGAAATGAACTCCGGTTGTGTATCAACAATGCCACTAAGGATAAAATCTTCTGGACTTATTCTGTGTTGATTGTAGAAACTGTCATACTGAACAAAGACTTACATATGAAATTATCAGTAAACAAAATTCTGTCAATTATTGCTAATATTTATAGAGATGAGAGATGAGACCTGAACATTTATCCAAAATCTTGGTGAAGTTTTAAAGTTGAAAACTACATCTTGAGGCATATTGATCACTTGTCCATCCCACCATGGTGGTCTGGTGAATATATTTTGGTTCACTGAAGACAACAATGGCAACATTGATGGCTAGTTCAGTAACGTGAATCATAAAATAAAAATTATATTGCATACTAAACATGCCCGAACCTACATGTCACGTTATTGAAAACATAAACAGCGTCATAATCCAACCCAAACCATCCATGAATTTCTTGGCCGTTTACGTTGTAGGTCTTTTGTCCTTTTGGATCAATGTCATCGACGTTTGTTGTATTTTGAAGAGCTATTTCTGACTCGCAAAAGCCTTGGCCATCGCGTGTAAATTGGAGATCGCAGAGCAAGATTGTACCAGGCAAGCTATTAAACAAAGCAAACTCATATGCTATGATACTGGAGGCTGGAAAAAGTCCAGAGAATCCGCCGTTTGCTACAATCTGAGGTTCACCACCTGAAAATTTGACAAAATCAAAACGCTGATCCATGTGCAAATGCAACTAATTTTAAATTACGAAGATTAAGGGGAAAAAGGGGAAATTAATCGTAATACCACTTAGAGTCATCCATTTCTTTAAAGGAAGTGGTGGTGGCTTCCCCAAGCCACCTTTTGCTTCATTTGTGTGGATCAAGAATAAAAAGAGAACCAGATAGCCTATCATCTTTTCCCCCGTCCTGCATTCACAATTTCTAATTTAAAACAACAGAAAATTGACAGTTTACGCATAAACTTGTATTTTGTTTTGTTTTTTTTGTTTTTTTCTTTTTTTAAATAAACAGATTTCAGTTTTTAATATTTTCGAAACCGACGTCATATCAACTTCGGTCAAGAAACAAATAACTATCTACAAATCAGATGCTTGCTCAGAATTGATGTCATACAAAATAGATACTTTTTCAATATGATTAGACTATATAATCAAAATCACGAAAGGCCTACAAAGAACAAAAGAAAGTAATCGTACGAAAAACTTACCTGAACATGTGAAATGTAAGAAACTAATATTGATTATTCCCTGTTGAGTCTCAGAACAGAAAAATCAAAAATGGAAACTCTGAGAGAATGTGTGATGCCAAGCCATGGGGAAGCAAACGTGGAGAGGAAGGCAATGGATAGAATGTAAACTCATATTAATAGCTTCCACTCAATGCCCGCATTAATAGCTTGTCCATTAATTATATTTACTGATTTCATTTTCTATATTATTCCTCCTAAAATTGAGAGACATGTTTGAATTGATATTCTTTGGTTACACTATTTTAATTTCATCACACATATCATTTAGTTTCATATAATTTCTATTTTTATTTTGTTAAATTTTTTTAGGGCGAGCTTTTAAGAACATGACCAACAAGCCACCACGGCGCCTAAGCCAATTGACACCGCTACTCGCAAGAGTAAATGATAATGAGTGATTGATAGTAAAGTAATACTCTCGCATTGAGGATCAGTCAAATCGCATAAGTGCCTCCTAAAAAAATCCTCAAGTTTCTCTAGAATGATTTGCTTATTTTGATTCAACCCACGTCTTGATATAGGGGAAATTACACAAAAGCCGATATTTGAAGATTACTGTGCAAAACTCAGATTCCAACTTTAATTAATCATATATCAGGTATACTTATATATTTTAGTATTAATATTAATATTAAAATTAATCAAACTCCCCCAATTCATCCCAATCTCATTTTCAAAACATAAATATCTCTCTCTCTCTCTCTCTCCCTGGCCGCCAGTCACTACCATTTGGGTTGGCAATTTCACAGTCAAATATCACCAATGCGAATCCATCCCAACCCCACTCCAACTACCTTCAAACCACAAATTTCTCGACATTTGACATTTCGTCTTTGAAGTAGAGGATGGATTTTTTTCCCCATTTTCCTCTTCTCAGCAGAAACGGCATTTGGTGCTTTTTTTTCATCATCTTACTCTTCAACGGGTGGTGATGGCATTTTGTGGAGATTTGGTTTTGTGGCTTTGGTCCACAAGTAGAAGAGACCTGGTTTGTGGTATTTTGTATGTAAAGTGGTGTGTTCAGGCAAATGGAGGGGGTGGTGTGTAGGAGGTGGTGATGGGGAAGTCTCGTAACTGTGGATCAATGTCTATAGGTGGTTGTGGTGGGGGTGTGTAGGAGGTGGTGATGGTATTTGATATTTAAAATCAATGAGTCCAAATCCTCATTATTCGTGGGCGAATTAAATAGTTTTTTATGCCTAGATTTTTTCTTATCAACATAAATTAAAAGATGATCGTGTTGTAGTATTCCTTTGGAATGAACGAAACTTCGATAACATGTTCATTTCATCATTTGTACGGCCTCCGCCAGCCTACATCAATTTCTAGCTTCTCAAATTTTCAAGTTTATCAACGCCAACGATTATGTATTACCAAAGAAATTTCCAAGATCATTCCTAAAATCCGAAGGATGTGCATCCTAAAATTCCTGATCTGTCAACATTTTGTGGCTTTAATTGTAATTATACTAGAACCATAGGCAAAGGGTTAAGCAAGCAATCCAATTCCTTAAATTACTATTGGAAAAACAGTTCCATTTTGGGATTGTGCACATTTGCAGGGTTACATGTATTTTACACATCAGACAAGCTAATTGCATAAGCATAACTGACGAGCTGCACGAGTTCCAGATTATTCTCAACCAAACTATCGAGCTTCTCGCCTTGAGCCAGGACACTTTCAATAGTTTTATGATTATTCAAAGGGCCAAAATCAAACATTATTACAAATGATAAGGCCAAATGAAATGATCAGTAAAGAAAAATGAAGATAGAATCAATTTAATGCAAACAACTTACAAAATTGAAATTATTTGCTACATATTGAGAGTTTATATGGTCTCAATGGCATTAATTTATTATATTTATTTCATGTTGAAATCTAGTAAATGTACTCTTCCTATGTCATGTTTCCTAAGCTGAATAAGCTTATCTGCTAATAAATTGAAATCCATAATTACTTATAAATATTTTGTAGGCCAATAGAACCCTCTTTTCTGAATAGATTTACCATAGATTGGCTGTAGTTAGACAAACAACTGTAAGAGCTCCAAAGTTCTTTCTCCAAACCTTCTATTATCTGCTTTTTAGTATATTTTGTACATATATCTCCCACATTTGCTTTTTTAGTGTGCTTTAAGCCTATTGTTAGAAAATATGAGTTGTGGACCGTCCATGTGGAATGACCTGCTCACAAAATACTAAAAGGGTTGGAGAGAATAGTTTGAACTTGAAATTCAAACCTACAACCCCCTATAACTCCCATATAACCTCTAATTATTATTCAATATAAATAGAGAAAAAATATCGCAAGAAAAAATAGTGAAATTTGTATGTTTTCATACACCAAAAATGGAAAGGCCCTAAAATCACTATCTTGACATGAAAACTCACAAAATAAGACACTTAGATTATGAATAATAATTTACTTCCAATGTGATCAGGATTGTGGCCATTGGAAAACAAGAAAATGCAGATTTTCGGATCTTTAAAATGTAAGGCGATTCAATCACACAAAGATTTTGAAATTCATTATTTCAAATAAGGATTCTGGACCCGCATGATTATGATTGCTGCGAATTCTTATACCTATAAAATCGTGGTTGTATCCTTAACCATTCATATAAAACCTCCTTGGTGATTATCTTATTAGGGGACATGATAATTCATTTGATCAAAACAATTTATTAACAGAATGCAAATTCATATTTCGCTAACCTATCAATAGATCACTAAACAATCAATACATATATTAATAATCAATTAGTAAATAATCCCATTAATTCATAGACTACCAAAAATAATCAATCAAAGAGTTCACACTTCATCTTATTTATATATACATCATATATATTTTAATTAAGATCATTAACTTTTATTCATCCCATCCCATTCTTATTTTTAACATTTCATTAATCAGAAAGTTTTGTTCTTAACTATGATTTTCGTTCAAAAAATATTGTTAGCGTGCTTTAAAATGAGAGCCAAATATTTAATCGCATTTTTGTATTATTATTTGTTACGCTCATTTAATACAAATGACAAATGAGTCTTTTTATTCAATCTCAAAGAAAATTTTGGAGAAATACCATAATCAGGAACAATTTATGTTAATTAGAAAATAAGAATGCAATAAAAAAGTTTGAAATATAAATGTGATAATTTGTAAAGATTATGAACCTTTTACGCAATTAAAATGTAGTATATATAATTATTAAAAACTATGTTGTGAATATATTTAGCCATATATTATTTCTCCGCAATTGTAAAACTACTAATATTTGTCCTGTGTGGATAAATATATAAAATTTATTCCTCTTATACATATTGCTCCCTATTTTTTTTATGTGTGTACATATTAATTTATTCCTCCCTAATTCTACAACAACACAATGTTTGTCCTCTGTGTGTGTGTGTTACATATAATATTCCTTCATAATGCATTTAGTCCAAAATGAGGGCCCACTAAACACAAATATGGGTGCAAAATTTCTCTATGGACAATTCCACTTGTACATCAAAGTTTGTACATCAAGGGATACATCTCTCTCACATGGGAGGTGAGACCCATGAAATAATGTTTTTTTATTCGAGTGGACCCCACCCCCCATGTGAGAGAGGTGTAAACTCCGATGTAAATCTTGATGTACCACTAGCATGGTCCTTTCTCTATTATTTCATAATTCCCACCCTATCCCTACCCCATCCTAAAGCGGCATTGCTGCTTTCATCCACTTCACGAAAATTTCTCACCGCAACATCTTATAGGAGTCTGGTCGTGTCTCAGTTCCTTATTTTTCCAATTTTGATTGTGAAACTGAAAGTGAACCAGCCTTTAAGAAAAAAACAGAATACTAATCCATTTTACATGCCTAACTAACAAAAAAATAAAATAAACATAAATAAATAAATAAAAATTGGTGTTATATAGAAGTTCTGTAATATATACAAATACATATATATTTTGTCACCACTACATGAGAATCCTGGCTCGCTTATTATGCATTAGTGGTTGAAAAATCGACCACCTTCGCAGGCAAACTTTTTTCCATGTACTGCAAAAACATATCCACTAAGTGATTTCCTTGTGGAGGCACCCTGCAATGTCTGAATCTGTTAATCTTGGGGCCATGTTTTGCTGCACCATATTTAGCCATATAGAAGTTGTACCTCTGATGTATCTTATAACCAATTTTTAGAGCTTCTAATGCTGAATTTAGCTATATAGAAGTCTAATGCTGATTTTATACAGATTTCTGCCAAGGAAATATTAGAATAATGTCAACAATATTGCTGTTATGAGACTTGGAATGCTATAGGCTAAAGATATGACAATATTTCTACATTGTCTAGTTGAATTGATATTCATATTGTCGTGCTTTCTAGATTTTCTATAAATAGCATCAAATAACACTTTCATTTGTTGCTATTTCAGTCATATTTACTTCATAATTCCTAACACGCCAAAGAAATAAAAAAGAAATTAGAGGTGCGTTATATAAAGAGAGATAGAAATCCATCATCTGGAAATTACTTCATGTTATATATTTTGCTAGCACATCACTTTCTTCCAATCCAAAAACCATAACAATAGTTACTATATATGATCGATCTAAAAATACCATATAATATATATGGTATTTGAATTGATAATGTTAATGTTGAATTTTCTACATAATACCAGGTAATAAGTAATCTATAAAGCTTGAACAAGATTATTTGACAATGTCATTGTCGATTATTCTACCTATTACTGGATATTAAGTATTCTATTGAACGAACCTGAGATATTTTGATGCTGAATTCGTATATTGTAAACATAATATACTCACATCTTGAGTACTTTGTACATCTTACTCAAAAGATGTCATTTTATAGTTTCCCTACGAAGATAATGAAAGGAAAATAACAATTAAGATTTGTTGATATCAAATTATCCCTTACAATTAATATTTAGATCTCGATGGGATCGATAAACAAAGCAATGATGTGTGGTTTGAGAACTTTCTGTGGTTGTGTGTATCCATCTTCATTGCCTTTATAAGTGACATCTATAATGCGTTCAAGGTTGAGAATTCGCATTAAAATTTCTCTAGAAGAAGAAGTTGGCTTGAGACACTCTTCATTGATATCCTTCCATGCATTAGTGGCCATTTCAAAAAATTTATCCATAGCCTCTTCTTTGGTTACACCGTTCTCTTTCATGTACGATTCAATTCCTGTAGCAATTTGGCCCCTTTCCTTCTCAACCTTCAATTATTAAGTAAAAATTTAGAGAAAGCAGATAAGAGAAATAAAGTTGCTTATTTGTGGAATTGGTGTATAACAAACTTTGAGTGCATATTCAAACCTCGTATGTGGCAATATCATCAATGAGTCGACATATTTTAAGGCTAGCGACAAGCATTTTGGGTTTAGTGCTTAGCCATTCAAATTGCTCCTTGGTGACAGAATTCATCCCTAGCAATGCTGTAGTTGTATGATAACAGTAGGTACATGTAATTAGGGCATTGTTCATGTACTCAGAAAATGGTGGCAAGTATCCTTCAATAAACCACTTGGCTTCCACATAGTAAGTCCTGACAAGTTCTTTCAACTGCATAAAATTAATCGACATTTCTTTAAGTTAACAAGGACAAATTCAATATTAAAAATAATAAGCAATGAAAAAAATAGATTTAGAATGGTAGTTAAGTAACAACAAAATGTAGTACTTACCGCTTCTTTTGCATAATAGACTGCATAAGACCTTCCTTGTTTGGATAATTCTTCATCAAATTGCTCATAAAGATTCAAAAGAGCACTATAAAATGGTTTGATATATTCTGGAAGCCGATCAATTTCACTAATATCCCATCTAAAAAACAAAACTTCGTTGATTATGATCATAGATAAACAATTGATTACTTTAAGATATTATTTGTATTACAATTGTGGATACAGTTAAAGGAAAGCAATACAAAATATGTACCTCTGAATGGCTTCCGTAAAAACTTCTAATTCGTCAACTATACCATATGCATCATACGTATCATCTATTATTGAAGTCATTGCAATAGTTTTTGTAAGCATGACTCTAGCAACTGAATATTGAGGTTCATGATAAACACCCATGGCCCAGAAAAAACATTCCACCACTCTATCTCTAGCATAAGGAAGCAAAGAAACAAGGTCCAACTCCTTCCACCACCTGCATTGTTTATGCAGCATTTGCAATGAATTATAGTCCAATTTGGCAAACCTCAGCAGCAATTCATCCTTTGACTCATCTTGTTCGTAGACGGAGATAAAATTACGTGCCTCAATTCTCGGGTTCCCAAAATGGATGGATTGCACAAGGGCATGAGTTACTTGTTTTCCAAGTCCACATCTTAGATGTGGTGCCATGGATTTCAGGTTAGCTGTTGTATATACAAAGGCATCTTCTAATATATCTTCACCGTGCACCCTTAAATATGCTGCTTCGTACAAGCTCAGCAAGCCTCTTGCATCACTCTTAATGGTCTCTTTAAATTTCCCATTCTCATCTATGAATTTCTCAAAGATACCACAAGATATACGATAGCCATGTTGTCTGAATAAACGAAAATGAAGTGCAACAGTATACAAATCATAGGCCTCATCTGTATAGTCTGAGTTGAGATTAAAGAAATGTTCTATTAGTTCTTCAATCTCATCTTCAAAGTGATATGAGATGCCCAATCGCTCAAGTGTGTTGATCAAATTCATCGTCTCCACCATATATTTTCCCTGAGTTTTCAGCATGCCTCTCACTTGAATCTTCAACCCTTCAATCTCCTTGGCATATTTTTCTGCTAACTGTATAGTTTCAAAAGACAAACATATAATAAGAGGATCGTTAATATATACTTTGTTCAATATTTCCTTCATTTTAACTGTTGTAATCTAAAAAATCTTCTATATATACATGTTATAGAACATTATAAGCTGAAACATGTTACTAAATCCAAGAAATTTGGAGTTCCGCCCAAAAAAAAAGGTAGAATCCTAGAAAAATGAAAGATTGATGATACCTCAATATCAAAAGAAAAATTGATAAATTGTTCGCCCCACAAACTGGGAGAGAAGTTTGCGACTGGACGAACAATCTCCTTTTGGCCATTGGTACCATTTTCAACAAGAGCCGATGCCATTTTGATTTTCGAAGAACAATGTGGAGAAGAAGATGAGGAGGAGGAGGAGGAGGAGGAGGACAAATAGACTTGTATTGAAAGTTGAAACTGTGAACTTTAGCTGAAACTGATGCTGGTGATCAAACGCTAAAGAGCCACCTGCATTTATAATAGAAATGCATGGGGCAAACAGGCGACTATGATATTCTATGGCAGGCGTTGCTCATTCTTGACTATTAATAGACTGACGATACCAGAAAACATATTATAAAATTTAGTCTACAAACGCTGTTTTTCTTGACTAAAATTTATTTATTTACTTACTTATTTTGTTAAAAAACAAAAATATATAAAATCACGCTACATGTAAATTATTTTTTACATTGAGCCATGTGGCAACACACTATTTGACCGTCTAAAAAAAAGGTTTTTTCATCAATTAAATTTTTGCCAACAATGATGATGTCAATCACGATGTACAAGTAGCGTTATCCAAATATATAGAATTATGTTAAGTGTGCATTTCATGATCTACATCTTTTTTGACATTGTGTGAAAATTCAAAAAGTGTTGAACAGAAAAATATGTGTATTTTTATTTTTTTTTAAACAGAACTGTCCAATCATTTTGCCGACACGTGACACATTATCAAAAATGATGTAAAACAAAATGTATATGAATGTAGCATGATTGCAATATATAATGAAGAGTGGGGCCTAATTTGTCGTTAAAGAATGAATATATTTCATGAGAAGGATTTTTATATCACAAAAGGGTGACCGAGAAGGCAGGTAGGAACATGGCAGCCAGCTAATTGGAGGATGTTTGTTATAAGTCGGAGCATTCGAGCTGGTCATCATTTACCAAGTAACTCTTAGCAGTGTAATTTCCGTTCCGAGCATGTTTAGTCAATTGCCAAACTAGACAAGACTCTTGAGTTCAGCCTTTTTGTCAATATTTAAGAAAATTGTAGGTGTCGGACTATTATGAAAAAGTAAATCCACAAGCTCGATGGTCGTTATATGACAAAAATTGATGTTTGGAATTGGGCCTTGGCCTCTATTGAAGGTGTTCGTACATTGTGCTACTGACATATATAAAATGTTTATTCTAAAACTTGGAAACGTGACTTCATTAATAGGGCGCCTCTTGGTTTACTTTCTCAAGGAGTTGAACAGTTCTTGCTACAAAGATTTCATTATATTATGAGCAATGCTATTCATATCCACTGGGATTGCATCCCCAATCTAGATAGCGTTAATGTGGTGATATGTGAATCATTTAATTTCACATATCATTTAGCTAATTATTTAATGCCACCTAGACTGGAGATGCAACCTTACTGGGGCTACATAGCATTATTGTTATATTATTTCTCTCAGTCTCTTCTTCTGCTCTTCTCCAATTATGGTTTTTGGAGATATTGAGTGTTCTCTCTTTTATTAAGCCTGCAAAATGCATTTCTTGAGTGGATCTTCTTAGAATCGGAGTGAGGAGCATCTACTGTATGTGTGAGTATATAGCTCGGTTGAGGGTTCAGAGAGGTCACTTTTCTGTTTTGTTCGAAATCTTGTGGGATTTCAGGTGGAGCCTTGATGTAATCTTGTGACCGCAGACTTAAAATGTGCTAGTGCCGTGATCTTTTCTCAATGTGGACCTCAACAGGGACATAGGCTTCACTTAACCTTGGTCAAACTAACCAATTTACTCTTCCCTTTTTTATGTTGTGCACTTAAATTGTGTTACTGTTTCTGGTATTAATTTGATCTGGAACCTAGAGAAGGTTAAATATAAAGAAATAATTACTTATCATCACAAGAAGTGAGGATTAATGCATGGTATTAAAGCTAGTAAAGATGATAAGGGATCAAATTATGCCATACATTTATAAAATATTACATGTATTAGATATTTGATAAAAAATAAATCTGACCTACAAGTAAAATGACATATTAAGAAGAAATTAAAATAAATAAGTTTGTCATGTGTTTTAGAGTATAAACTTCAAAAATGCTACATCTTTTTTTTTTTTTGATGACTCAGGTATCCAAACTTCGCTCGACTAATCCTGAGGAATGGTGGTCTTCCCCCTAGTTTGCCACTCAGGTTAATTCGGATGCGGTCACATTTTATACACACTCGAGCCAGACATTCGATGATTATCCTCTCTGTGGACATCTACCTTTCAATATAAATGTTACCTTCCAACATTTAAGTGTTGCCTTCCAATATAAATGTTTCCTTCCAGTTGTCATGAGGATTCGAATCTTCGATACTCCGTAAAGAACCCTCCTACTTTACCACTATGCCACGCCCGTGGGGGCCAAAAATGCTACATCTTGCCTTATCACACGGTTGACACTTGACATATCCTTATGTGACACAATTTGCACAATGTTTTGAACGATTGTTGGAAAAATCAAATAATAAGATGATGTCATGTGGCAAAATGTAAATGAATTTATCAACCATAATGTACATGTAGTATGATTGTTTAAACTTTTAGATTCGAAAGTATTAAAGTCAAAAAATACTTGACACGTATCACCAAAAGTGTGTTTTTAGCTTGTTGATCGAACATAATAATTTTGCATGATTTTAGGACTTAATTTTAAGATGTAATTAAATTTATTTGATTTGTAACTGACTAAAAATTATCATGTAACTGATAAATTGTATAACTTCCTTAAATACATGATGAAAAGACACATCCTTCTATACCATAAATACTGCAATTGGGCGGGGGCGGGATGGAGGGTTTCAACCTTTAATACTGCAATTGTTTACAGATAGTACTGAAAGTAGACTGAAATGATTCAAATGAAGATTTTTTCAAAAGCGACAGAGAAAAGCATACATTTTTTTATCAGTATCGGGATGAGAAATTAATTAACAAGCGCACCTCATTTGAATAGCTCGGTATGTCATTTTCACCAGAAAGTGATACTGGGATTATTTTTAATTAAGAGAAACACAATTTTCTTTGATATTCTTGGCAGCATTCAACAGCGGGTAGTTGAAACTTGACGTTGCTGGCTGACTATGACTGATATTGCCAACCAGAATTTACTTTCTATGGTTTAAACTTTTAAACGAGAAGATGTTTAGAATTAAAGCTTGTCTTACCATTCATATGCTTCAAGAATTCAACAAACAAAAATAATAGTAACATTAGAATGTTCAACAAAATTACAGTTTTTCAACACTTTTTGTTTAGAAAAATATAAACCCTATTCATATATTTCTGTTCAATCTTGTCAGCTTCCCCTTTTACGTGCTTAATGTCTCTACCAGAAGTCGACAGTTGACACCACAGCCAAGCTGCCGCCTACCTGAGGTAAAATTGTATTTTATGAATTATATAAAGAATAGTGTAGAATGCCAGTGTTTGGTGGAGATTATAAAATAGCATTGGCGTGGTGGGACGGCTGTTCGTCAATCACATATGGTGCAAAAGCCACATTTTTATATATTTTTATTTTATATTTGTTCGGGTGGACAAAAGTATCAAGTCTTAAATAAAAAATAATTGATTGATACCAAAGAGAGAGCTTTTATTAATAATAATTTGGAAAGCACAATCCATTTGCATGTATGGATTTTTGTGAAATGGATATTTAGATAGATCAATATTCAATGAGTAATCATGGTTATCATTTATGGTTTACGCGTTGTCTATTGAGTGCAAG